CGCTATGCACTCACCGTCAGATAGCCCTGATAACTTGTATCCATTCTCTGTTTTACCCTCAGGAGACCAGGATCAACTGCATTCGGATTGCTCGTAAAGGTAATTCATTCTTTATCTGCACTGTTTACACGCTTGAGGGCATGTCTCATTCACAGCGCATATAAATCAACGCTAACCAAATGTCCCTGCTGCAGACTCACTCACACTTTGGCAAGAGATGAATAGGTATTTGTTACCTTAATGTGGGACTTTCTCAAAACACAAGCCATGACAGTTGGGCGCGATTCACCTCGTAATTTAATTCAGATATTACAAAAACATACCTCATTCGCATAGTGAGCCAACATAATAGAAACAGACTGAGAAACAAAAAATAGATACATTGATAAATCCAAAAAGTAGTAGGAGGTAAGAAACTGAAGAACATGAGCTTAGTGATCTGCCTACTCAGACATAAAGCAGAGATGTCCAATCATGTTCATCATCACCGTCATGCTGCCTCGGAAGTCTGTTTGAAATCAGTTTCAGGAGGTCAATTTAAATGCAAACGCAGCCTGTGATTTCATCGGTTTATAGTGGAAAAAGACAACAAGTCAGCTACCTAAACTTTCAGATGCAGCCACAGTTTGCAGTTATCATAGAAATGGAAGAGTATTGCCATGAACTTGAATGCCACTGGAACTGAGGCGCTGCAGTGATCTGTCATGACACATGAAAGAGCCACAAAATGGTATTTATTGTTTGAATTTCTTACGAAATGACAATTTTGAAAGCTGAGACTTTGTTTCATACCAAAAGTAACCTGCTCTGTCTGCTCTGACCTGGCTCTGGAAAGGCAGCCATGAAGAGACGAGACTCTGGAGTGGCGGCCAAGACGGGACGAGACTCTGGAGTGGCGTTGTCAGTGTCCTCTTTGCTCTGCAATGTATTTTTCACTGCGTGGCTACATGATGTGTGGTGTGAGAGCGCCATGGCTTGTTGGATGTAGCAAGGGTAGGCGGGTCTTTGTGAAGGATCAAGATCCTGAAGATCTACCTACCTGCAGAGTTCAGTACCAGACCTGTTCCAACACACCTATCTGTAATTATCAAGTGCACCTGAAGATCTTAATGAGCTGCTTCAGGTGTTTGATCATGGTTGAGCTGAACTTTGCAGGAAAGTAGATCTCCAGGAAGAGGACGTTTTAAAGCATCATAGGCTATATTTACACTGCAGTTCTTAATGCCCAATTTAGATTTGACTTGTTGCACTCCATGAGCGGACTCATGGACTGAAGCGGGCTCTGGAACGGACTCATGGACTGGAGCCGCCTCTGGAGCGGACTCATGGACTGGAGCTGCCTCTGGAGCGAACTCATGGACTGGAGCCACCTCTGGAGCGGACTCATGGACTGGAGCCGTCTCTGGAGCGAACTCATGGACTGGAGCCGCCTCTGGAGCGGACTCATGGACTGGAGCCGTCTCTGGAGCGAACTCATGGACTGGAGCCACCTCCGGAGCGGACTCATGGACTGGAGCCGCCTCTGGAGCGGACTCATGGACTGGAGCCACCTCTGGAGCGGACTCATGGACTGGAGCCAACACTAGCGAACTCATGGACTGGAGCCGCCTCTGGAGCGGACTCATGGACTGGAGCCAACACTAGCGGACTCATGGACTGGAGCCGCCGCTGGAGCGGACTCATGGACTGGAGCCGGCCCTGGAGCGGACTCATGGACAGGAGCCGCCTCTGGAGCGGACTCATGGACTGGAACGGACTCTAGTGGATTCCGCCACCTCAGAAGTGTGTATGGCCTAGACCAGGGGTGCCCAAACTTGGTCCTGGATGGCTGGTGTCCTGCAGAGTTTAGCTCCAGCTTGCCTCAACACACCTGCCTGGAAGTTTCTAGTATGCCTAGTAAGACCTTGATTAGCTGCTTCAGGTGTGTTTGATTAGGGTTGGAGCTAAAGTCTGCAGGACACCGGCCCTCCAGGACCGAGTTTGGGCACCCCTGGCCTAGGCACACAAAATGGTGACCACCATTACTGGAAGGGCAGCGGAAAGTGGGAGAACCTCTGAGATCACCGAGCTTGAGATTGCTGAGGCCACCGGGATGCCTGCTGCTCATACCGACATCAGCGGTGGGTCTGCCACACTGGATGTCAGTCTCGACTGCCTGGGCACTGCCCTACAAGCTTCAAGTGCAATGTTCATGACAGCCAGGAACACTGGCGTGGCATCCATGATGGCTGAAGACTCTGGTATGATGTCCATGATGGCTGGAGACACTGGCATGGCGGCCATGATGGCTGGGGACTCTGGAGTGGTGGCCTTGACGGGCCGAGGCTCTGGAACTGCAGCCAAGTTGTGGAGAGGTTCTGGACTGGCGGCCATCTTGTGAACTGGCTTTGGTGCGATAACAACAGGACGGGAAGGTGCTGAAAGCACAGGACTAGCGACCATTATCACAGGACATGCTGGTGACCATGGTGTGGCAAGCTCTGTGGACACCGGAGCTTGGTGTGTGTGGTTTCAGTTCAGACACTAGCAAGACTTAACAATGAATGATTGAGAGAACCGGGCTTATATAGGATGAGCTAACAAGGCTAATGAGACACAGGTGCAAACAATGAGTGCTGATGAGACCGGGTAGAGGATTATGGGGAATGAAGTCCTTGATAGAGTGGCAGTAGCCTGGGGTGGAGTGCCCTCTGGTGGCCATCAAGGACACTCCAGCTGGTGATCGTGACATTGGTTTTACACAAACATGTTAACAACAAAAACCTAACATAAAACAATGCAAAACTGAGATAATGCATTCATAAAGCAGAGTGGCCATACACTTCCCATAAAATGTAATATAATCAATATTTATAATCTGCATTTCCCAGCATGTTCCTATTTATTGTAATATTTTTCACTGAAAACATTCTGGAATTTTAATCTGTAAATGATATATGCCATGCTGCCTTCAGATTTGGCTAATGAGAAAGCTAAGAAAGACACCTTGGGAACACTTTCTATGAAGCCTGTATTTATAATGCATTATAAAAGTATTCTTAATGCATTATAATGCAGGCATAATGCTTTATAAACAACTTTATAATGCTGTATCGTCTGATAAATAATCACAACAACACTTAAAATACATTATGATATTTACCTATTTGTGGTTATAACGTTTAAGAGTATGATTCATTATAATACCAGAAAGTCTTCATGTATAATGCATCATAAGGGTATTCTTAATGCATTATAATATTGTAATGCAGGCATAATGTCTGCATTGTAAAACAAACAAACAAAAACGTATAATGTGTTGTAATATCTCATGAATAATCATAAGAGTAATAATACTTACTATTAAGAGTATGGTGATTTATAACACACAATGAACATAATTTTACCAACTTAAGTTATAATGGGTTATATATCCCATAGTTTCATATATTTTACTTTCATCGTGACATTGTTTATGATCTGCATATTATTGTACTAAATCTTATGAGTGCCCTCTTTTCAGCAGCCATATAACATCATGTTACGGTTATGACACATTTGCTCTGACCATTTTTGATTGGCTTTTAACATTTTTACCACAAATAGGTAAGTATTATTACTGTTATGATTATTCATGAGACAATACAACTGTCACGGGTCAGGTGAGGGATAAGGCGAGGACTCAAGATGCAGGAAGAATTGAGCTTTATTTAATAATATATAAAACTAACAAAAAAAAAACAAGGCACAACACAGCAGGGCAGGATCAGCAACACGGGTAAACTCAAACACAAGTGACAAATACATCTGAAAATTTACAACCAACCAGCACAGGACTGCAGACACAAGGAGAATAAATAGGGAGACACACGAGGAGGGTAACGAGGGAGACACAGGTGGAGCAACTGAAACAATAATGAGATATCAAGATGGGCGGGGTAAGACAATAGACAGGAGAGCACATGGCACCAACAAACGCACAACAAGCCATGTGCTCAAACAAAGACAATGTCCTCTGGTGGCCATCCAGGGAACACCTGCCGATGACCGTGACAACAACATATTATAAGGCTGTTTATAAGGCATTATGTATTTATTATAAACAATGAGAATACCCTTATAATGCATTTTAAATACAGGTTTTATAGGAAGTTACCGAAACCTCATTTTGAGTAGGCTTTGCAAGTGTGCATATGATGCAGATTTTTTTGACGGAAGGCTTTGAAAGTCTCTGACCTCTTACTGCTATGTGAAGAAATGTAAAACAAAAAAACAAAACAAAAAAGAGCACAAATGTACAAAATGTAAAAATGCTATGGAGTAAAAGTAAAATTCAAGCTTTAGTTCAAGGCCGTTGCTCTGTACTGTTAGCGGTTGAGTAAGTGGCTATTTTATGAAAGTAGTAATTACTTCATTATTCTGATAATTAGCTTGCGATTTCATATTCATAAAGCAATTAAAGAATTGAAGTACATGCTGCAAAAAGATTGCATTGCTACTGCTGAACATACTATACCATCCTGTGGTATTCCACCAGCAGAATGTCCCTTTATCCTCCTTGTTTTATCTGTCAAATTCTATTATTTAGGTATTTATTTCATCAATGATATTGTAATTAATGTCCCTACAGCAGATGGCATAATGATGCATTTCCATCCCTGTGATTTTTCGAATGGCAATTTCTGTTTTTGGAAGCACCGCAGGGGCTTAAATTAATCGAGAGAAAGAGATTTCATGCTGCTCTGCTGTTTGGAAATTGACTGCATTTACAGAGAGAAAATGGAGACACTGAGACCCACAAAACTGGAGGAGCATGTTCAAAATGGCTGCCAGGTTTAGTCCGTGACTTTCTTCCTCAAGTTTGCGACCAGTGGGCGCAGCTGTCATCAATGGACTCTCAAATGATCAAATGCTGGACTAAAATGTCGCCAGATCCGGTTCTGTATGTGCAGGCTGTTTCTTTCCGAACTGGACTGAATAAAAAATAACTGTTGCTCTTGCCAAACTTGTTTGGAACGAGACGTTCAACTCGGTTGTTTCTCAGAGTGGGCAAACTTTCTAAAATGTGTTGATTTTAAGACACTAGATCGTCAGCACTGCATGTTCTAGCCTGTTCCCATATCATTTTAAAGCTGAAATGGTGTCGATTTTGACTAAATCTGTGGTATTTTCAAGGAACAGGAAGCTCATATGGTATAAAAAATATTTGGGAAAGGAGAGAAAGTTGGCAGTAAAAGGTGGGTTTTGAAAGTTCTAACATCTATCCAATATGCTCAGTTTTGGGAGCTGGACCTCTGATAATCTAACCAGAAATGAGCACCTCTGCATCGCTGACCTGACCCCAATTTGCCCAAGACCCGGTCTGCTCTTGCTCCAAGGGCACTCCGGGTTGAGCTTCTTCCCCTGTGGCTCATTCATGTGCTGCTTGATGCTGATAAATTGGTTCTTCATCTCCCTCCAAGCGCTGTGATACCTTCAGCAGATTAACATGCAGCCGTGCGTTGCCAGCATCACCTGACCTCTGTTCTAATCTTCTAATTCTCATCTGCTGCTTGAGATAATGCACTGTGCTGGAGTATTAGGGCTTTGACTGGGCAGATGATATCTCAATATTTTCACGGTATGGACGATGATTAAATATATATTTGAATTAAAATGTATTTGCTTTGAGATGGTGTTTTTTTTATTATATAGAAATTATGTTTTTATCATATATATATATATATAGAGAGAGAGAGAGAGAGAGAGAGAGAGCGAGCAGGAGGAACCAGAACCAGTTTTCTTTCAGAACAACCTTGTACATGGCTTGATTCATGCGTCCTTCACTAAGACAAAGGTGCCCGATTCCAGCCTTGCTGAAGCACCCCCAGATCATCACGATCCTCAACCAAATTTTACAGTGGGTGGCTTCTAAGCCTCCCCAGGTCTCCGTCTAACCATTAGACCAGCATTTTTTCTAGCTTTGCCCCCAGGAACAACTGTTTCAAACTGTCCTCGCCGAGCACTTCACCCCAGCTGCCGTTTGCCATTCTGTAGGTCTGTAGGTCTGTAGGTCAATTGATGTCATCCTACAATTGTTGAGTGACATTCGAATGAGTTGGCTGAGTCGTTTTCACTCTCTGCTGGTCTGTAGCTTTGTTGTCCCCAGTGTCTGCAGCTTGACCTTGTTCTTATGAACCGCTGTCTTTGGAATTTTAAGGGTGGAAGCAACCTGACACTCACTGTATCCCTCTGCCAATTCCAGTTACTTTTGAGGTAGTACTAGCACTGTTTTTACCATCCAGCTGGTCCTATTGCAAGAGGATAGTGATGAGCACAGCAGTGTTTTTTATACTTTTCCTCGTTAAATAAGATTTAGTTGAGGTGATCACCTGATCAGTACTTCATTAAACAGAATGAGGTGGAATGGCTGCCATACATGTAGAGATGCTGATTTAAGAAAAAAGAAAGGAGTAGTCTTATTTTTTTTTCCAGAGCTGTATAAATAATGTACAGTAAAATGTATCTAAAATAATGAAGACAGAATTTATTTACATATATTTTTTCTAAACCATTTTAAAATGGAAAAGGCCACATAGGCTCTCACCACTTTCATACTTTTACATTGTCTATAGAAAACATAATTGCTAGTAAAACATTATTTTGATATTTTTATGATTATGCCAACATAATATTAAATAGATTTACATTTGATATTTCACACAGCCCTAATTAGCAGCATTATGTTGAAATAATATTTGGGTAGATTCTTATTTGTGTTTTTTTACTGTACCACCGACATTTAGCTAAATGATAATGAAGCCATTTGTCTTTCTCTCACTTTCATTCATTCATTTGCTGTTTGTCTTTCCACTCTCAGAGGCCTGTAAGGACCATAAGCGAGCTCTGGAGGTGTCCCAGCATGCCGAGGACATGGGGCTGATCCTGGGGGCCTGTGCTGGGGGGCTGGTTGTTCTCATCCTCCTGCTGGGAGCCATCGTGGTTGTTGTCAAGAAAGGGTGAGTATGTGTGCACTCAGATCCAATTAAAATCAAATCCAATTCTAGATGTTCTTCACAGCATCACATGACACCATCAGCAGCAGCACCGTCCAGACACAATAATAAACCTGGTGCTTTAACACATCCTCAAAGGTTTAACTGATTAAATTATAGCTGGCTCACAACTCACAGCTGAAATATTGCTCAGACATGACAAATTATTACACTTTGGGAACAGCGAGGACAGGTACAGGAAGTACCTCCGAACTGCTTTATTCACTATTATTATGCGGCTCTCTGGAATACTTAACTGTGATTGGTCAATCTGCAGCTGCGTAATAAACACTATAATGTACAGTCAGCCTGTCATTACTGGAAAATAAAGGCTTTCGGTTTCACACAAATAACCTCCACACTGTGCTGGGGTTTATTTTGCTGTAATGACTGGCTGAATGTGTGGAAATGTGATTTTCCTGAGCTGTAATTTAATGACTCATGTTGTATGTGAAGTAGAGCTACTGGTTGGTTTACACTCTGAGAGAAGATAATAAGTGTTTTCTCGAATACAATGCATGGCTGGACTTACCATTGGACTTGACTAGGTTTTTTGTAGGGGGCCCCGCCTTTGCCCGTTTACGTTTCTTTGATTTGTACAGTTATGTCAGTCAGAAATGATTAGCTGCATTTCCACTGCCAGCCAGAGCTAACAGCTTCCAACTACGACCTTCGAGGCCATAATCAAACAGCATAAACTGGTATTTATGATTAATTCACATAGAAGAAGGACACACGTATTGAATCGCTACAGCGCCAATTAATCTGTCATCACATGGCTACTTTAAACAGCTCCATTAATCCTTTAGCCCAAAAGAGCGCACGTTTAGAAAGATAATGATAAATTCTCATATGATTACGCCTCATTACTTTACAGAGGATGATTCTATGTTATATTAATGTTCCACTAAATTATGCGATCTGAAGAGTTTTGAGCACTCTCTCCAGTCTCACTGCCATCACACATAGCTATGATTTAAAAAAAATAAAATGAGTTTCTGTTTTTATAACATATGCCTATGATATAGGAGTTAGCCTATCACACAAACAAGAGTCCTGTTTTTCCAAATATCTGCACGATCGCAAATGTACAATAAACAAGAAGTTACTGAGTAACTTTCAGACACAAAATTCAATTTTTCTCCATCAAAAAGAAAATAGAACAAACAGCAGAACCGCTGCGTCTCCGAGCAACATGGTGTTTGGTTCCTCATGTTACACGGAGCAGTAAATGATTCAGACTAGCCTATAAATACAGTCATTTGCGAAGTTAAATTAATTAGCATTTTAAACAAATCAGTTGATTTAAGTATTTAACTCACTCATTAAAACAGTCACTTGCTGCCATCTACTGGCATTGTAGTTTCCTATTTAAAAAAGTAGCTTTTTATTAAATTTTTTCAATCATTTAATAGTTCTACATTAAAATGTTGTATTTAAACTTAACATAATTTATGCAGAATCTATCTATGGATTTTGTTGATAGAGATTTTTTTTAGGCCGAGTAGAAACTGTACTATAAAACAAAAAGCAACTGTGCAAATCTAGAACCCACACCAACCCAACCCTTCCCACCCTACCCCTGGTAGACTTAAAAAAATACAATACAAATTTAAACCTTAAAAAAAAAAAAAATGATATTAAAAAGATGACAACATTAAAAGCAGAATGACATAAATTTATAGTTTTCACATTAGATCCATGTATATGAGAAGTTGAGTGTTAATAGTGATTCAATTTGATTGTTAATAGCCAACATGTCTTTTTATTTGGATCGAATTGATTAATTTGATTAATTTTAATAATCTGATATAAGAGGACTGGCACAATTCACTCGGGGAGCAAACGAGGAACGAGGAGACGCTAGAGTTAACACGAATAAGTATTTAATAATCCACAGTAGAGACAGGAAACAAGGGAGACATCCAAAAAGTAGACCCGACAAACACTAACTGAATGGACTAGGGCTTTTAAACTCAGGATAATAAGGGAGGAACGATACACACCTGGGATCAAATTAACAATCAACATGAGGAATAAACTGGGTCACAGGGGCAAAAATATACACACAGAATAGTCCATAATCCTGACATAACGCCCCCTCCCGGAAGGTGCATCTTCGCACTGTAGCAACAAAAGAGAGGAGGCGTGGGTGGGAACTTGGGAGGAGGTTCCGGAGGAGGAGGGATATCCGGGAGGAGGCCGGCAGACAGAGACCAGGGGAGGCGACGAAGGAGGGAGGAGCCAGGGAGGAGACAGGAGGGACCCGGAGCAAGAGGAACACAGCAGGACCCAGGCCACAGCCATGATGTCGACCCATGGTGGAGCCGACGGAGGGAGGAGCCATAGAGGAGGAATGGCCACTGACTCCAGGGGGCCGACCAATGGTGGCGGAGCAGATGGCGCCGGCGACCGACACAGAGATGTGGATCCGGGAGGTCGCAGTGGAGCCGGAGCAACAGAGGACTGAGGTGGAGCCGAGGGGATGAAGGAGCCTGACGAAGTCGGAGGGACGAGGCGAAGCCAGAGGAGTGGAGTCCCAAAGCACAGGATGGTCGATGCCAGACCAAGGCGGAGCCGGAGGGACGAGGGAGCCTGGCGGAGCTTGTGGACTGCCGGGCCACGACGGAGAGGAGGGAGCTAGGAGCCATGGTGGAGCCGACGGGTCAACGGGCCGAGGTGGAGTCCAGGCCTTGGAGGCTGGAGGCAGAGTCAAGGGATACTCCAGCCACGGCAATGCTGGAGGATGGCAGTCCCGCGGGGCTCGCACCGCAATCATGGTGGGCAATCATGGTGGGCTGAGGGCGAGCAGAGGGGCTGCCAAACGACAGCGGTGGAGGAGGCAGGAGCGGGTGGGAGGGTGGGCATTTGTGAGCCTTCCGGGCATTCACGGCTAAACTCTGGATCAGGACCCCCCTCTGGGCTGAACACGGGAACAGAATGGTGCTCTGGAGGAGCGGACACTTGAGGGCGCTCTGGACTGGATTCAGGGACTGGAGCCCTCTCCTCTTGGCTTTGGCACTTTTGCCGCGCCATACTCCGCTTTCTCCCTCATGGCGGAGCGGGCACTGGAGGATCGGAAGCCCCCTCAGGGCTGGACGAGGAAATCAAGGATGAAGGAGGGCTGGAAGGGACCAGCGGAGACGACGGAGAGTGGAGAGGGGGAAGTTCGATCTCCAAATCAGATTCCCAGTCTATTAGATCCCCCTCCTCGTTTTGGCCCTTTTGCCGCGCCATACTCAGCTCTCCCTCAGGGGGGCGGGAGCAGAGCTCCTCACCGCGCTCACACTGTCCGTGGCTTTCTCCCTCGTGGCAGGCGTTGTTGCTGGCTCACACACCTTGACTGACGTCACGGCCTCTGGCTCCGCGGCGATCCTCAGCTCTGTTGCTCTCTCTAGCGATGGCTCGTCGGTCGCAGCGGGCTCTGGCTCTCCGTCAGCGGTGGGCTCGGGCATGCACTCCGCGCATCGGGGAGATCGTGGGCTGGGCTCTGGGTCAGGAGTGGCACTGGCAATTAACTCCTGGGAACTGGCGGGGAACAGAGATCCATTTATCGCCAGTGTCCACTCCACAAAGGCGGTGAAGTCCGCTTGAGGGCCATCTTCGGACGACGGCGCTCTGCACGCGGGGTTGAGGCTGGCGTCATAGAACGCGCAGAGCGCGTCGACCGGATAGGGGAGTAATGAGACACACCTGGGATCAAATTAACAATCAACATGAGGTAGAAACAGGGTCACAGGGGCAAAAACACACACAGAATAGTCCATAATCCTGAGAAGGACACATATAGGCTATGACAATAATTTTTTTAATAATACTAATACATCTAAATAAAAGTGACCCCTTTTATATGTGAAATGTTTACATGAGTCCAAAGCACAACACATACATTTAGTTGCCAAATAAAGGGCAAAAGACAACTCATTAAGCATATTAAACTTTTTAAGGATCTTTTTCTTTCTTTCTTTCTTTCTTTCTTTGTAAAGCTGAATCGTTTTACAATTCTGTGAGTGCAATATGCCATTCAAACTGTTGACATCAGTCTGAAATCAGGGATCTTGTTCAAAATAAACTCTAAGCCTCTCGTTTCTAAAGTTATGATTGCTCTGAGGGATCTGCAGAGCAGCAGGTGCTACACAGATAGAAACAGGGCAATATTTGACATAAACCTCCACTGTACTCATTTATCATCAGCCGTCTGTGTGACATTAGAAAGTTCTAGAAGTTCCGAAATTTTGTGTTCTGAAAATTAAAATATGTTTTCATAGTATGTAAGACTCTTTTATCTTTAAGATATAAATTAAAATTCAATGTATCATCATTTGGCCAAGGAGAAATATCAAGCGCATGCAAAATTAAAGGTGCAGTTACATTAATCAATGCTCTGTGAAATATGCATAGAGAAATATATATATATATATATATATATATAAACTGCTTGTTTTGAAAGTGACTTGTGTGAGCAGTGTTTTGTGCATCACTACACTAGTGTAACTATTGTGTCTTTAAGACATTGTAATGTATAAAAACAAAGAGTTTGAGCCAATAACTAAATTCTGAAGGAGCCAACACAATTACTTCATATCATTAACTAATATGAGACTCAGAAATAATAAACAATTGTTCATTCAGATTCAGATAAACCTACTACAGTATATTACCAGCAAATTATTTGAGAGTTGTAGTAAAGCCAAGTAGTGAAACCAGTCGGGAACCAATCTGCTTTCATACGTGTTATAAACTGACAAGAAGCTAAGGACAGATGTTTATCTCAGCATACGAGTAATTAACATGGTAACTTGCCTGATAACTTGTAGTTTAAACACTAGAGCATGATTCTAGCAAAAGCAAAGGTCATTGGATCGATTCCCAGACAATGCATTCATGAAAATCTTGAATTCGATGTAAGTTGCTTTGGATAAAAGTATTTGCCAAATGTAAATGTACTAGAAGCCAGCCTAACCTACATGTTTTTTCTGTCTCTCTGCATGCTCTTCAGAAGGGACATCTATTCGTATCCTTACTACCCGTAAGTCATTTCCTCATCAGGTTCCATTCTTTTTCCCATCAGCCTCTGTTGTTTAGTGTGGATTTGTTGGAGATTAGCCAAACTCTCAAAACTCTCTAACTTTCTCTGTTACTTTTCCTGTCTATATCTCCACTCTTTTTAATAAAGTGTTGTTATATAGTAATGCATGTGACTTGAGGAGATGTGTGTTATTGCTTTTCTAAATTTTTTCCCCTTCAAATAAATGGATAAAATAAAAAATCCCCTAGACTTACATTGGAGGAGTGACCACTGTCACATCTAGAAATCGAGATGATCATGAATTTTGACCAGTTAGCATCCACCCCAGCAAAAGTATGGGAACATGCTACGATCACCATATAGCACTGACCTGGCTAAGTCCCACCTACATTTTCTTTACATTTAAAGCTGTAGTTCCTATTACTGGTGATGGTTTATATTGAAGAATCCTCCTCTCTTATTAACCCTCTCCACTCGTGTTTATGTATTTTCTCTTTTCGTCTCATTTACAGTCCTTGTAGTCTCTCTTCATTTGTTGTCTTTCATACTCTGCAGCAGGAAGAAGGTGAACATTAATAAAGCGGTGATGACGTATCGTCAGGAGAAGACGCGTAAGCTGGGGTCACTGGACTGCAGTACGACAGAGCACAGTACACTGCAACAGGACGATCGCACGGCGCACACCTTCATGGACTCACATAACTGCACTGTTAGAAGTGAGTACACAAACACACACAGCGGAAAGAGTTGCTCTGTACACAGACAAACATAAGTATTTAGTACCCGGTTATGGTAAACTGATATTCTGAATGAATAAAAAATAAAGTTGAAAAGTTGATGACAAAGAATGATATATTTTAATCATGTGTTAAGGCCTGTTTTTGATCATTCAAGTAATTCAGTATTTGACGATTGGAAGAGATCCACAAGATCCACACAAATGCCAGACCCCCTGTTACCCAGACCAGTAATGGATCCTACAAGTCCAGATCCTAAAATCCAAATGTTCACTGTAAGCTGGTTGTGCAGCGTTCTGTCAAAGTTCCTCTGACACCCTCCACCTCCCCCAGTTCCACCTGTCTAGATCTTCTATGGGATTTATCTTTGCCTATTTCTACTACATAAATGATCATATTGTAAATATTCCAGTGCCATTAACCACATCTGGTTGACACTTCAGCCTAGTAGGTGACGATATTGCACCCATACAATGGAAAAAAATAAGAAGATGATGAAGTGCCACTTACTTGTCCCACAAAATAAAGTTGAAAAGTTGATGACAAAGAGACACTTTAGCCATACTTGAAAAAAAAAAGCTTGCTCAACAGTGTTTTTTTGAATGTCAGACACCCCAGTCTGTAGGAAGTGCCAGTAAATTCTTTTTTATTTTTTTTATATTTTTGAATAGTTATGGTTACCAACTCTCTCTCTCTCTGCCTCCTTAAACTGGTTTTGACACTCATTTTGAAAAGTTAATGACCAAACGTATCATTATAAAAGTTCACAGTGTTGCTGCAGATGAAATATAACGTGGATAATATAAAATGTATTTTATATCAGGTTATCAGGTTAGACATTGATTATTTATCACTCAAATCTGTTTATCTACCTGTCCGTTGGTTGCGTACACTGTAAAAAAAAATTCCGTAAAATTTACGGTAAAAAAAACGGCAGCTGTGGTTGCTGGAATTTTACCGTAAAAAATACGTTAGCAACATTTTAGGTTTTCACTTAAATCTACAGTTAAATACCGTAATTTCATTAACTGAAATAATGTTAATATGCCAACCTATTGAAGTACTGAAATCTGTTTTGTACCTTTGTAATACACTGATAACCACCAAATGCAGGAGGTGATGAGAAAGTCACATGATGAACCAAAGCCCATCACAAGCAGCTTTTAAATAATAACATATATAGAAGGTGCACAGTGTCATTCACACAAACACTAAACACCATCCTGGTAACACACATGAAACTGAAATAATGCAATAAACATTCATTTAACAACATTAGGTGTAACACACAACGCTAATATACAAAACTGATTAGAAAAAACTAAGAAGAAACAGTTATTTCAACAAAAAAACCCATCAAATTTGAAATGTAATGCAGGGAATTCTGGGAATGTCAATTTACGGTTATTCACTGTAATATTATACAGTCTTTTACACTTCCAAAAACGGTATACTACCGTAAAATTACATGTTTTGTCCAATACAGTTTTTCACCGTATATAGTAGGGGAATTTACCGTTAACCATTTAACAGGTTTTTACTGTAGCATTTTTACAGTCTTTTACCGTTAAATTCACGGTCATTTTTTACAGTGTATATCCACCATGTTTGTAGTTTTTAACATTTTTAATGCATGTTTGTAGTTCTAATTGAATCCTCGTCCACTGCGCAATGTGTTGTGGGCAATATTAGCCGTTAGAGTGTGCATCGATCTGCACTTCGAATTCTAACCGGAAGTAGTAGACCATCTGGGAATCTTTGGCATACTTTTTTTAAACATACTATGATTTGGGACATACTAATTCTATTTTTGAATACTATTTAGGATGGATAGTATGCGAATTGGGACGCAGCAAGAGAGTGAATCTGTGTCTCATTCAGAGCTTCTGCTGTTACTGTTTCCTGCAGATGTGTTTTATGTAGAATAGTTTCACAAAGCTAAAGTCAGACTATTCTGTTCTGTTGAAATTATACAATCTAATAACGAAAAATAAAATAAAAATAAAAATAAGTAAAACTGTTCATGCTGCATTTATGCAGCAACTTTGTTTGGATTGTGATTAAAATACTGTGGTTGCCTTTAATTTTGAATGGAAAGGGCTCAGGACAGGCAAAGCCTTAGTTTGTTTATATGAAGATATTTATTTTATTTTTATGATTTATTTATTTGATTCGGGATTTGTTTTAACATTTCAGTTTAGTTTTGTTATGTGACATATTTCGATTTCACAAAGAAATTATTTCTGAAAAAATAATAAAAAGGACGTCTTTTCAGTTCTCATTTTGTTAAAAAAAATTGGGAGAAAATCATATTGTGAAATCAGTAACGTGAATCGTATCACATCATAAATTGAGTTAATCGTTACATCTCTAGTGGCTAAGCATTGCACACACACACACACACACACACACACACACACACACATACACTCTCTCTCGCTCTCTCTCTCCAATATATAATGCATGCAGTAGAAAACAGGTGAAGAAGTAAACAGTGTTGTTGGGATGTTTACAGTCACAATACACCATTAATGCTGTTTATCTCTATTAGCCATTGTTTGCATTTGCTCTCCGCATATTAAAGATGCTCCCACTGCTCTCTGAGTCTTGAGTCAGTTTCCTTATCGTCCCCTGGAACAGAAGAGTGTTGTTGAGTGCCAGTAAATGAGAGCGCTGTCTGCCAGATACCTGTGCTTATATCATGTACTTGGCTGTGTAACATTGAGTTTGAACTATTCTATTCTATTCTGTTTTTTTTTTCAATTATGTAATTTTGCTGTGTGATTTGTTTTACCCCAAATTTAGCTGTTAAACACAATTATTTTAAAAACAAGTTGGAATAATGCGAACAGATGGCTCCAACAAAAGCACAAACCATTGCTTAACAACCTCTGAGTTCACAAAGCTCACAGTAGATTCATCTTTAATGGTTTATAAGTTATCGTTAAGACTCAGTTTCCCTATGGAAATGAACTGCCCAAAGTAATCAGACTGAATCTCAAACAGCTTTAGACTAGAGGTCTATGCGGGATGCATTTTTTTAGTCCTTCTCTTGCAAGAATCCGTCTCGCTCATGCACAAATATGTGTCATATTTTGTCCCACTCCCATCCGTGACTTTCACGTTTGTTGTTCAGCAGACAAATAACATGAATGACATAAAATATAATGAAGTAATTTTTATTTAATCTTGAAATATTTATATTTTGCAGGAGCCCCTGGTTAATTTCTTTCTCCCACTTTCTGCACATACATCACTATTAGCAATTACCCACTCTCAGCAATTAAAAGCTTGACTCTGCTGGGTCGGGGTCCCACGGATCCCTTGGGATTGCAGACCTCTATTTCAAACCTTTTTGCAAACACTTTGACTGATTAGTTCAGAAGTGATTAATTTGCAAATCATGATTGTTATAGCATGTTATAGTTCTGATTTTAAACCGCTAATATAAATTGATTTCTGAAGATGGTTACACTTTATTTCAATAGTCTATTGTAGGCATTCTACTAATTATGAGTAACTTTGTAATAACATGTCAACTAACTCTCATTGATTTGCAAACACGTCAACTAACTCTCATTAGAATATTAGTAGACTGTCAGGTTATGGTTAGGGTTAGTAAAATAAGTTGACATGTACTTGCAAAGTTACTTATACACTCTCAGGAAAAAAAAGGTACAAAAGCTGTCACTGGGACATTTGTAGTTGCAAATCTAGTTGGAAAGGTACTTATAGTTAGTAGACCGTGTAAAGTAGACTATCAAATAAAGTACAATATTATGAGGTAAAAATGATTCTCTGATTGGTATATGGTTATCTCCAGACAAGGATTTATCAGTAATATTTTACTGGGACACAGCAGTACTTCTCTGGAGCTCGTGCCCCAGTTAAAAAATCTGCCAACGCCACTACATGGAAGAGAGATGGTTCAAATATGAAACTATGCAGGCCATCTTCATCAAGCTGGACCAACATATCTCGTCTGCTTCTTACAACACCATTCTAACATCTCCACCCCTGCAGTTTTACTTCAATTCACACTCGCACAACCACCTCCAGTGAAGCGACTCCCGCTGCAATTTACACGTTACCTTTGAGCGCACTGTAGCTTCTTCCCTTTGCACCTGGGTCAGTTTGTGTCTATCTTTCTCTCTCTTCCTCTCGCTCCTCAGACGAGCAGCGCAGCACGGTGAATGAGTCCAGCAGCCTGCTGGGTGGCTCTCCCAGAAGACACTGCAGGAGGAAAAGTTCTCCGTACCACACAGGCCAGCTCCACCCGGCCGTGAGAGTGGCAGACCTGCTCCAACACATCAACCAGATGAAGACAGGAGAGGGCTACGGCTTCAAGCAGGAGTATGAGGTGAGAGCGCGCTGAGTTTACAGGGGGTTTGACAAGCAATTCTGCAAGTATATGCCTGCTGGGTTAGATTTAAAAGACAAGGGCATGGAGTAATGTGAAACTAAAGGAGAATGAGTTTCTGAAACTTGAAGCAAAAGTGTTATTAGCAAACAGCACAGCTTTATTAGCTTAAAAGATATCTAAAGAACCTACATTGGCTCCCAAAGGTATTTAGACATTTTAATAACCTTAAATTACACTTAAAATGAATGGAGGAAAAATCCAATCAAGTGTCATCTGATCAAACATCTGCTGTTTTCATTTTAGACACTATTGTATGACTATTGTTTGAAATCTAACAAACCACTTGGGAAAGGGCTCTTACGCAGTTTTTCTTTTATATATAATGTCACTTTTGTAATTTGACCGTTGTATATTATTCACATCGCATGACACACACTAACATTCACGTTTGGGGTCTGTAAGATGTATTTATTTATTTGTCTTTTGTTGCATTCAATTATGCATGAAATTGATCAAAAGTGACATTAAAAACATGTAGAATGTTATTAAAAAAAAGATGCTACAGTAAATCCTCTAAAAGTAATGGTTTTCCACAAGAATATTAAACAGCAAAAACGGTTTTCAACATGAATAACAATCAGAATTGTTTTTAAGCAGCAAATTAGCATATTAGAATGATTTCTGAAGACTGAAGTAATGATGCTGAAAATTCAGCTTTGATCACAGCAATAAAGTATATTTTAAAATATATTCAGTTTGAATATATATATGTATATTTGTAACGGAGGGAACACAGGAACCGTGCGGATCCATCTGCAAGGCTTTATTTGCAAGAGACGTGGTCAAAAACAGGCATAGGTCAGACAACGGCAAACAGGTATACTGATGGCAAGGCAAGAGGGATAATCCAGGTACAAGGCAAAGGTCCAGGCAGGGGTGAACAGTATCCAATTGGGCGAGACTCGAGGGATAATCCAGGTACACAGGCAGTGATCAGAACACGGGGAAACAGACAAGGCAAGATGATGAAAACAAGGAAAAACAAGACACTAGGCTCGGTAAGGCAGCTAACACTAAGGGAGTGGAAAATGCAGAACAATACACGAGACTAAAACAGAAAACACGGAATGGCTCGGTAAGGCAGCTAACACTAGGGGAGTGAAAAATGCTAGACAATACTCAGCGATCTGAACAGGAACTGAGTGGGTGTTAAATAGAGTGAGTAATGGCTCTCAGGTGAGCGTGTGATTAGTGACGGCTGTGTGATCAGTGAATTCAGCTGTGTAAGTGCAATGGATGATGGGAACTGTAGTCCGGAGTGACATGTATCAGTCTGTGTAGTGTGAGAGTCAATGTAATGGTAGAGTGACCTCTACTGGTAATCGGCCGGAAGGCCACGGACCGGATTCGTGACAATATTAGTGCTTTCAAACGATTAATCGCGATTAATCACATCCAAACTTAAAGTTTCTGTTTACATAATATATGTGTGTACTGTGTATATTTATCATGTATATATAAATACACACACATACAGTATATATTTAGAAAATATTTACATGTATATACATTTATATATTTTTATTATTATATTTTATATTATATAAAAATATATTTAATATAAAAACATAACATATTTTTCTTAAATATATACATGCATGTGTGTGTATTTATATATACATAATACATATGCACAGTATACACATATATATTATGTGAACAGAAACCTTTATTTTGGATGTGATTAATCGTTTGACAGCACTAATATATATATATATATATATATATATATATATATACGTACACGTATGTATGTATGTATTTATATGTATGTATGTATTTTCATATTTGTGTTTTATTAATTACATGCATCAGTTCATACTCGCATTCATTCATTCATTATTTCTTTCTTTCTATTTTGTTTTGTTTTGTTTTTCAGGCAAGTTGAAAGTTGAAAGTTACACTTAAAAATTCATGATATTAATTTATTAATGCATAATAAATGCATAATTCGATGAATATAATATAATATAATATAAAATAAATTATAATATAATGTACATTATGAAATCATATAATTAGTTTTTATTAATTAACTTATTAATAACTTAATTAATAGTATACGTACACGTATGTATGTATGTATTTACATATGTGTGCGTGTTTGTTCCAGAACGTGACTGATATGTGAGTGAAGTGCTGCCAAACTTTTTTCTATGAAAGTTCTTTCATATCAGCCCTTCACAAAATACATTTCTCATTCAAAATATTCCACTTATGTATTAATAATACCTCCAGTTCTTCTTTGCACTCACCACGATTTCTCAATAGAATAGATATATTCTTGTTGAGTCATTAATCTGAGCCCGCAGGGCACATGAACCCCTCCTCTAGAATCCATGCTTCAGACTTTTTCTCTTCAATCTGACACTGGAAAAGGACTGTGGACTGTGCATGTGAAACTCTAGGACCTCGATTTCTGTATGGTTGTTGTAGCTGTCTCATGTTTCTGCTAAAAACCTCTTCATTGTTTCTGCTGAACACGTCGTTGACATGGTACAGGCTGATAGTAACGTGGTCAAATGTAGGCCATGTTCACACATTTTACAAGACTGTAGCTTGTCACTCTTAGATGTTTTAAGTCTGTGACTAGTCTGCAACAAAATACTCTGCATCGTAGCCCGTCGCCCACGTAGTCCTAGTATGCGCACCTGTTATTTTATTGTTTACAGCCACAATAATCCAGAGCTTTGCTATTGTTATCACCACGTCAACTATCATGAGTTCAGGAGTGACTTGTGTATTCCATACACATGTTGAAAAATGTCCACATTTGAAATATATATGTAATTCCTGAACTTTGCAGAGTGTGTGCACCAGCAGTTCCTTGTTAAAAATAAGTGCACTTAGTATATTTAAATATATTTAAAAAGAAAAAAAAGTACTTGCAAATTAATTAAATTAAAAAGTACTTGCAAATTAATATTGTAATAAAAGGCATCTTAAGTGTACTTAAAGTGAGCACGCTTTTATGATAGTGTTTCTTAACACACTTAAGTAGACTTTTAAAAAGTGTAATTTGTAATAATGTAACAATTAAAAGTTTTACTTCAAAGTACTTTTCACATCATTATGTTTAATAGTATTTTGTCAAAGATGTACATTTATTTTGATGTGATTAACATACAAAAGCACATAAATGATGTGCTTTTCCATTCATAGATTATTCATCAACGGCAAAACATGTCCTCACATTTATTTTATTGTTTCAGTGTCTGCAATGCTGCTCCCAAACTTAAATAAAATATCTAATATTCCTAAAAATAACTGACAAAGCTCAGAACTACATGTCATTAATAGGCAGTTCACTTTTGCAGTTTAGGATGATTGCATTCGTACCAACATGGATCCCACCGGAGTTCACACGAACTATACCCTAGACGACCGTTTTAGCACACCTGAGTTCGGAAAACCCATCAGCCTCAAAATGATGTTTCAAATCAGAACAATCTTGCTCAGGATGTATTTATTTTGAATTGTTTCTGGGTAACTTTGTAGTTCAAGGAATCACTGTCTGCAAGAGAAATGTTTTGAGGTGGAGACAGAAATATTGATTATGTGATTTGGTTGAGGAAGAATGAAAGAATGGTAGTCTTTGATGAGAATGTCTCGCTGTGTAGCAGCTAAGCCTGGGGTGATCTTCAGTGACAAGAGGACTGATGGACAGAGGGAGAGAGAGAGAGAGAAGAGAGAAGAGATGGTAATTGAAAGGGAGGTTGAACTACAGAAATCAGAAAAATACAAAAACTATGTCCTAACCACACAAAGTATCCAGCATCAAGTGCTTTTTCTGTCCTCACTGAAAGCAAATGCCGAGTGAAGTGGCAATCACAGCCAATCAGAACTCATTTAATATCCCGTTCAGCTGTGGCCCAAATGCTGGCCACACAGACATTCAGAATGCAGAAACCCAGTGTGAAATGGGATTTTGGACCAAGGTGATTTGTAATCCTAAGAGAAAGCTAGCATGTCCATTCACCACAGTGGCACTTTAAAAGAACTATCGTTTCCCTCAGAAACAACCCTCTGCCACCTTCTACAAATTCTTTTAGTGGCCTTGAGGTCAAAGAACAGGATGTGTTCAAGCATTTAATTAAACTGAACCGTTAAAAGACAGTATATACTGTGGGGCAAATAAGTATTTGATACACTGCCAATTTTTCAAGTTTTCCCACTTACAAAGAATGGAGAGATCTGTAATTTTCATCATAGGTACACCTCAACTGTGAGAGACAGAATAAAAAAAAAATCCAGAAAATCACATTGTATGATTTTTAAATAATTAATTTCCATTTTATTGCATGAAATAAGTATTTGATCACCTACCAACCAGCAAGAATTCTAGCTCTCACAGACCTGTTAGTTTGTCTTTAAGAAGCCCTCCTATCCTCCACTCATTACCTGTATTAATTGCACCTGTTTGAACTTGTTGTCAGTATAAAAGACACCAGTCCACACACTCAATCAATCAAACTCCAACCTTCCCACTATGGGCAAGACCAAAGAGCTGTCTAAGGACACCAGGGACAAAATTGTAGACCTGCACAAGGCTGGGATGGGCTACAGGAAAATAGGCAAACAGCTTGGTGAGAAGGCAACAATTGTTGGCACAATTATTAGAAAATGGAAGAAATTCAAGATGACTGTCAATCTCCCTCGGACTGGGGCTCCATGCAAGATCTCGCCTCGTGGAGTATCAATGATCCTGAGAAAGATGAGGGATCAGCCTAGAACTACACGGGAAGACCTGGTCAATGACCTGAAGAGAGCTGGGACCACAGTCTCAACGGCAGTGTATCAAATACTTATTTGCCCCACTGTACATATATGTATATATGTGTATGTGTGTGTGTGTGACCCTGGACCACAAAACCAGTCATAAAGGTAAATTTTCTGAAATATATTCTGATATTTGGCCGAGATACAACTATTTGAAA